TTGCCTAGCAAATTTCTGTGGAACTAATAAAGTGCTGTATTTGAGAACAACATGGATAAAAGTTGTACTAGAATAATAATTTTCACTGCTTTCATTTTTATATTCTGTTAGAATAATAAAACTGACTCAGATTGTTTGGGTTCATACTTTCCTTCCTAGTGCAATGTACACTTCCTGAAAATAAAACCACTTAATTTGGCAAAATCCACATAGCAAGCAACAGTAATAATATAATTAAACTAATGAAGTTTTGGAACAAAAAGTCATCACATATTCATTCTTATCATATGTTTATCTAAGACAGACATATAATACTTTATCTAATTATAATACTCTATTGCATATAATGGTATATTATATATATGCCAAGACACAATTAATGTACCATTATGATGTTTTATCCATTTTTGCTAATAAGGGAATTAGTAATATTGCTTGACTATGTATTTCCCAAACTCCCAAGCCAAAAGGAGGAAACAAAATCCTGGGTGGAAAGAAAGCAAGGTGAAAACAGTGCACAGCTTCGAAAAGGGGCACAGTCTGAGTTCTAGAGACACTGACATTACAGAGACATTGACATTACAGTGGCTGTTGGGTGAGGGAAGGATACGCACACCCCAGAGGAGTCCTCGAGCACTTGTATGAATAGACAGTAAATTGGCACTTAGTGAAATTGCTACTATTATCTAGACAAGATCCAATCCTAAATAAGATACTGGGATTTAAAGTGACAAAGCTTTCTTACTAACCTTCAAGTGATGATCAAGGTAATAACAAAAACACTACCTACTATAGGGTGGGAGGACAAAGATTCATTTCAGCATCTGTTTAGAGCTGCCTTTTGGACACTTTGAAAGATTGGGTGTAACGTTCACAATAAAAGAGCTTGAGAACTTTGATGTAAATGGGATAAATGGAAAATGGGTTAAGTCATTTTTGATCTATCAACCAAACATAAAGATGTAGGATGAGAACTGTGTGACTCACTCAAACAAATTTTGACTAAGTATTATTTTCCCTCTACCTAGTTGGCAACTGTTGGAAGCAATTCGTTGAAATGACTCAAGCAGAATATTTATATTATTTTCTTCAGAGCAAAACTTGCTCATCAGGATTTGAACATTTATTTCATAATGAAAACATATTCATCGTCTAATATAACTCAGCAATGATAAATGACTAGAAAAAAGCAGAAATGTAATAAATATTATGAATCATAAATAAATGTACAGCATATGATAGCAAAAGAAATGAGTAAATAGATTAAACATAAAAGATTTATAAAAAACAGTAATATTATGTCTAAGGGTTAAAACAGACAAATGTGCTCTGGTAAATGATTAAATATCTATTGACTAATAACCATAGACATAGAATGAACAAGGACAATTCTTCACATTTTTAAAGAAATGTCTTAATTAAAAAAAAAAACTTCTATATTACATTTGATTTCAAAAATAATTTTATAAATAATCTTATTCTCTAAAAAGAAAATAGGTTTAATGTCTTCTGCAAAGGTGCCAATGAAGATTAAAATTAGCAAAAGTGTTTTTTTAACCTTGTCTTCCATTTTATTTCTGGCTTGAGATTTCCTGTGTTCCTACCTCCCTATCTCAGTAATTTTTTTCCTTTGATCTAATTTTTAAGTGTCAACAGACCTTACTATTTGTCATATCCTGAGTTCTGGATGATTCTTTTCATCAGACTTTGTTTGGATGTTCAGTTTTGTTTTATAATTTTTCTCTTTTAGTAAATACGCTAACTGCTTTTAACTTTCTACTCTTTGTTTTGTCTCTGAAATTTCATTTCAATTTTTATATGATGGAGTTATGAGAATTTTTCTATGCCTGTATGTTGTTGTTGTTGTCATGTGCCGTCGAGTCGGACCCGACTCATAGAGACCCCTTCTTGGGTTTCTGAGGTGGTATCTCTACAGAAGTAGATTGCCCAACTTTCCTTCTGAGGAGTGGCTGGTGGGTTTGAACCGCCAGCCTTCTGGTTAGCAGTCAGAAGAGTGATAATCACTTAAGTTTTCTGCATCTTCTCTTTATATATATATCATGTATTTCAGAAATAAGGCAAATATTTTAGTAAGGTTGTTATACAAAAATGTGCTAGTGGTCTTATAAAGTTTAGTTTTCCTTTCTAGCTATACTGTGTTAATAGTCCATATCACATCAAACCATATACATGCCTCTAGAAATGCATTTCTTAGTACATAAAACTCATAAAGGTATGAATTACATTAAGTTTATCAAATCATATGGACAATAAGAAATGAATCCTTATGCATTGGTTTTCTGTAGTTTGCTGGATCAAATTCAACTATACCTTTGGAACTACAACTTCTATCTTACTTTTGTAGTATTTATATATTGGGAGCTCTGGTGGTATAGTGCCTAAGGCATTTGACTGCTAACCAGAAGGCTGGCAGTTCAAACCCACCTTGGAAACCCAAGGACGGGTTGCTATGAGTCGGATCCGACTCGATGGCAGTGAGTTGGTTTTATTTTATTGTTTTTGTTTTTATAGATTAAGAATAATATGATTGGGATTTTTTTTAATTGAGGGAACTCATATTTCATTTATATTGATTTTTTAAATCTACATCACTAGATGACTAACCATAGTATTGTTTTTTCAGAAAACTCCCTTTGAGAAACACTATAAAAATGCTTTATCCAAGTACTAATTAACTTATATATTTTATTTCCTACATCTTGTTTCATAGGGAGTTTCTGAAGTAACAAATTAAAGTTTGAAATTCTAAGCTGAACCTGAACTGTAGGATGAAGAAAACACTCTAATGTTTTTGAAGATCAAATTAAAAATAAATTTTAGGATCAATAATCTTGTGCAGATGGTCAACAAGCAACATTTCAACCCCAGGCTTCTTGGTGAAGACATGCAGATGAGCTTGGGTAGTATCTCAAAGGAGAGGTAGACACTTGAGTGTTGATAGCAGGTCTTGCTGGGACCACAGAAGCTACACCAGGACTGATTTGTACGTCTGATCAGTTATCCAGAGTCAAATTTTACAGTGAATTTGTAATGGTTCCAAAACTCACCGCAGGATTATCCGAACATTCCTGTTGGTTGTGGCATTGTTGCATTACTCAGAGCAGGAGCCCAAGCAGGATAAGTATAGAGGTCAAACAAGGGCACAATCCAGGTGAACATGCCAAGCATCACCACGGCAACACCCAAGATGTTCACACCAAGTCCAGCTTTAACCTGAAAACAGAAAAGAGCATGAAAATCAGTCTCCCAGGAAGAAAACCTCTGGGAGAGCTAGAACACTGATGCAGAAAGCCTATGTGAGATTTACATGAATCCTAAATGATCAGTAGAAATTGTTACCATTTCCCAAAGCATGGGTTTTTCTTCTACTCAGGACAGAAGTGAATCTGTCCACAATTGAATGCCATTTGGGTGGAGAGTCTCAGAGTGGTTCATCTTAGGAACATACCTAAACCATTCTGGTTAGAGAAGAATACTTTCAAATATTTTCTACTTCATGTGTTAAATCAAAATTTATGTTTTATCATACCATAGTTGAATGAGTAAGACTCAGGCCTTCATCCTTCATGTAATAATAAGCTGTTTACAACTGGATCATTCATAGTCACTCAATATTATTAATTTACCTTTCTACAGTGCCTAAGGCACTTGACTGCTAACCAGAAAGCTGGTGGTTCAAACCCACCAGCCACTCTTCAGAAGGAAGATGGGCAATCTACTTCCGTGGTGATACTGCCTCGGAAACCCAAGGAAGGGTCGCTATGAGTCGGGTTCAACTTGATGGCATGTAACAACAACAACAACATAATCCTCTATTTTTTCCTAGCTCTTAGATCATCATTCTGGTGCCTATTAAATCATTTCCAAGGTGCTGTCTGTCCCGTTACTTATACTACTGCTCATAACTTCTTTTGTAAGTAAAGTTTTATTGGGCAAAAACCATGTGCTTTGTTTAGGTATTATCTATGGCTGATGTATGTTACAATATATCAGCCATAGATAATTTGAGTAGTTGTGATGGATTCATGGTCCACAGAGCCTTACGTGTTTACAATATGGCCCTTTAGAGATAAGGTTTTGCTGACCTATGTATTAAAACATGGAGTCTCAAAGCAAAAGGGGGATACCTAGCAATGACTATTATAGAGGCCCGCTCTTCTGCCCCTGTCGTGTATTTCCTCCAGAATCCTGTTTTTATTTTTTAAATACACTTACGTGAGGACATTGCTTTATACACGTTTTATTTACCAAAAGGATAAGCTTCTTTATGGAGTCAGTGGCAGAATTTTTATGCAGAAGGGGCTCAGGAACAGCAATCTGGTTGGAAGGATGAGAGCTAGGACTTACCTTTGAACTGTTTGCATAGCAAGCTCACTGAAATTCCTTGGTTATTTGCTCATTGGTTTGGAGATGGGTAATGAAAATGGGACCCGACTACAATGGATTCAAGTCACTGTTTGACTCTTGCCTTAGAACGTATTTGGTAAAGATGTGCAGGCTTCATCACTTCTCTATTATCATACGCTTGCATTTTTTTTTTTTTTTTGTCAATATACAAATATCAGAAAGCCAATCACCAGGAAGCCAAAGAAGGATGGGTATCAGAATTGGGACAAGAAAAACATCTTTTCATCTGTCAGGCATTGAGCCCACTGTCTTGTTCAGAGCAAGTGTTGGTTGAATAAATATCTGTGATAGCAAACCACAGTGTTACTTTGATTGCTAAATTCCATTGCCCCTACTCTTTACTATATACTGCTTTTGCCTAGGTTGGATTGAATCCAGATCTTGACATTTAAGTTTAAGCAGCTGTGTTGAGCTACTCTTTCCCTTCCTCCAGGGCATTACTGGAGCATTCAATATTTCTGTATTTGTGACTATAAATTTGAATGACCTTCTCCCTTCTAGTTATACTCTGAAAAACAACTCTATGGCTGGTCATGTGCTAACCTTCTGAAGCAGAATTCAAGCCATGCTTTCTCTGGTGGTTGGTTAGCATGTAAACAGAGGGATAACCTTAGACCACCAAAACTGGGCATAAAACCAAAACAAGCCACTGCCACCGAATTGATTCCAACTCATAGTGACCCTTTAGGACAGAGTAGAACTGCCTTATAGGGTTTCTGAGGCTGTAAATCTTTACAGAAGCAAACTGCCTCATCTTTCTTCCATAGAGTGGCTGGTAGTTTTGAACTGTTGACCTTTTAGTTAGCAGCCCAATGTTTTAACCACTATGCCACCAGAGCTCCTAAACTGTGCATTAGCCCTGACAATAATATTTTTGCTAGCTCACCATGTCAATGGTTTTGAGATGGCCATATGAAAATACAATAGCATTGGGTGGATTTGCTACTGGTAGAAGGAATGCAAATGAAGTACACAGAGTAGAAGGTATCAAAATATAAAGAGGATTCACTTGAATGGCTTCTGCCTGTTGGAAAAGACAAAAAAGAATCTGAGTAAAATTGAGGATAGGCACAAAGCATCAAAATGAGGATATTTACTATAATAAACTTCCCCAGAAGCAGGCTGAGACCTTGAAGACATAAAATCATCTCTTTATAATTGCAGCTATATCTTAAAGAAGTTCTCCTCTCTCCATGGAAAATGTCTTTTTCTCTTAAATGGCTGTGGGCACCCATTTAAGCGTTTTATCCTAGCTCATTTGGAAAACATTTGTTTCTGAAAGCAAATTTTAAAATGACAACCCTTTATTATTTGCTTGGTGCTGAGTGATATGCTGTGTGTGTGTGTGTGTGTGTGTGTATGTGTATATATACATATATACCTGTTGATGGTGGGTGCTATGGAGTTAATTCTGACCCACAGCAACTGCATGTGACAAGTAGAATTGCCCCATGTAGTTTTCTTGATTATAATCTTTACGAGAGAAAATCACCATGTCTTATTCCTGCAGAGCTACTAAACCAAAAACTCACTGCCATTGGGTTGATCTGACTTACAGCAACCCCTATTGGGTTTCTAAGGCTGTATACTTTATGGAAGCAGACTGCCTCATCTCTCTTCCATGGAGCTGCTGGTGGGTTCAAACCACTGACCTTTTGGTAAGCAGTCAAATGCCATAACCACTACACCACAAGAGCCACTGGATGGCTTCAAACCACCAGCCTTTCAGTTAGCAGGTGAATGTTTAACTGTGTGTGGGCTCCTTACACATACATACATATAGATGGATATTTCATAAGGTTTTATGTATCTCTCATATGTATATCTTCAATTAATTTCACAAAAACCATATGAGATGGCTATTAAAACAACAAATCATAGGTGAAGAAATGGAGGCCCATAGAGCTAAATGGTAAAGCAATGTCCAAGCACGCCCCTGCAAGCGTTAGCACTCATATACAGTGTCAGACCACTCTGACCCCAAAGCTTCTCATTATACCATTAACTTTACTGTCTCTGTGGCCCCTGTAATCTAAAATTTGCCTCAAGATCATCACAGAACAAGAGTCATTACTATTCTTAATCTGTCACATAATTTTCTAACTTCTCCTTGTTGAAGGGGAAAAAAAATCCACGAGGGGACTGGAACTCAAACGATATTTTGCTTATATAAATTACCTACATTTTATTTTTCCTAATATGATGCAGCAAGAATGTCAACATATGGCCCTTTGGTGGGGGCAGAGGAGCTTTAAGGAAAAGTTAAGTCAAAAATAAAAGTCAAAGCTCTTCTCCCTGCTAGTAACAGAAAGTCCAAGAAGGGCAACCTTTCTTAATTTATTGTGTTTTTCTTTTACCAAACTTGTCTGCTTGACTACCAACTTTTTACTTAAAGCTGTTTCTTGAAATTGCCAGCAAAAGTAAAATTAAAGAGAGGGACAGAGAAGAAAGAAGACAGAGAAGACAGTCTTTCTCCACCTCTCCTAGCATCTCAGCTTCTTATCTTAAAACAAACAAACAAACAAACAAACAAAAAAAACTTCCCTCATCCTTTAGGGAACTGTGTCTAAGAAATTTCAGCTTGAAACCTGAACTGTAAGACTAGCTCTTCATTTACTCACAAATTACTTATATGAAGCGCTTCTCAGAATTCCAGGAATAATCTTCAGTGGCAAACATCTAAAGGTGCCAGGAAACACTGAATCTCAAAGCCTCACAGTTGCATTGGACCTAGACTGGTCCTCTCATTTGTCTACAAATGAAGAAACAGTGGGGAAGGAAGGGATGTAGTTCACTTAAGATCAAGCTGCTTGAACAGGGAAGAAAATAGATCTCTATGGCAAATAACAACAACAACAACAAAGTAAAGATATTTTTAAAAATAAAAAGTATTAGCCCTAATAAAAACCACTCTTCAAGTTAATTGTAGAAGGATCATTTCAAAGCAGATCCCAGTTCTTGATGAATAGTGATAGGGTATAAATGGAATACTCACCAATGGAGATAATATTGGGAGAACGAGAGTAATGGTAGCTGGGTTGCTGGCTACCTCTGTTAAAGATGTGACGATCAAAGAAGATATCAGAATTATTAGCCATACTGGTAATGAATTTAGAGGAGATAATTTATTTGCTATCCACTTAGAGAGTCCTGACACCTAAAATACAAATTTGCAGTCATTTGTTAATTTATCAGACACAATTTAAATATCAAAAAATTATAATTTGCTCTCAAAATCATTTCTAAAGTGTAGTTTTAATCTTTCATATTTTTTTGTAGTTTGGTAGATATGGGTGACTTTGACATGGACAAGCTCTCAGTCTTATTTTAACATGACCAACATGTTTAAGAAGTATAAATTGTTTTTCCACATTTCAAAAAACTAAATATTAATTTCTTACATTAATATATGTGGATATTTTAACAAATTATGAAGTACTATGGACCTTAAGAGCCACCCTTCTGATCCACATCTCCCCATTCCTAAACTATATTCCCTACAGACAACAACTTTCAACTCTTACTACCTATTTATAGATATATTTAGGTATTCATAGCTTTCAAAATAATATTCCAATTATGCTGTTTCTTAATTTTGAATTTATATATTATTTACTGACTTCCTAGTAAGTTAGATATGGATGTACTTTTCTTACATCATCCACCATACCATTATTTCCATCCCTCCATTTCTGCACAATGATATATCAAAATTTTTGGCGAAACCAATATTTAATAGTTTTCCATCTTTATATAAATATTGTCCAAAGTTGAGCCACTTACTGCACTATGATTACATTTGCACTTAATTTTTTTTGCTTTCCCAGCAAATTGTTTGCTTCATTCATTTTGTTTGCTTAGTTTTCTAAGTACCTATCATTAATTCTTCATCACACTCTCCAATCCAATGAAAATACTTCACTCCAAGCACTCAAACATGTCAATTAATTGTTCATTTCCCTATTCCCCCATGGAGAATTCCATTCTAGAGTGTTCCCTCCTCCTGCTCCCTCTGGACTGTTGCTCTTCACTACTCCACTGCTGTTTTAGGACCTCTCTTCACTCCCATAGTCTAATAGTGGGGATTTCTGGTTTCCTTTCTTGTTTATTCATTTGTGTAGGGGGAGTCCATCCTTCCACGGCTTCCTAAAAACTAGTTCTTTTTGTTTCTGCTGGTCTGAAAACTTCTATTTTCTTTTCACACTGTTCTGATAGTTTAGCTTTTACAGAATTCTAGATTTGGAATAATTATCACTCAGCAGTTTCAAACCATTGTTTCTATTTCCTGTGGCTTCCAGTTGGCCACTGTAGAAGGCTAAAGCCATTCTGATCTTTGATTCAGTGTATGTAGTGCAGAAAAATTGGCTGGGCTCAGCTGAGCAGGTGTGTTGTTCTGTTTCCTAACCGTCCCTCCCAACAATGGAAAAGGAAATGCTCCTTGCATGAGAGGATATCAATGAGCACTACATGCATGTGTGCATTGAAATGTGGTTTTGACTTACATTTTTCTTTGGTTTTGACTTTCAGCTGGAAAAATATTGTCTAATATTTAAGTCATACTGGCACAAATTCATCCTAGACTATAACATATGATATAGATGTCTGATTAGATACAGCTGGAAAGGATTGAACATACACTGTTTCCCCCTCTGGAGGTTGTTGGGAATGTACCTTCATCCCTAAAACCTAACACCAAGATCAAACGCATTACTCTTGAGTTGATTCTGACTCACAGCAACCCTTAAGGACAGAATAGAACTGCCCCTTAGGGTTTCCAAGGCTATAAATCTTTACAGAAGCAGACTATTGCACCTTCTTCCCGCAGAGTGGCTGGTGGGTTCAAATTGCCGCCATTTTGGTTAGCAGTTGAGCACTTAACCACCGCATCACCAGGGCTCATTTTTCTTCATCCCTAGAGTTCCAAAATCTACATCAAGTGTTTTGGTGTTGTCACTTACTCTCTTGATACAGAATTCCAAAGCCTTGTGTTCCAGGAAATGTCCTTGTATTATTTTTCAAAAACGTTCTGCCATATTTTTGTTTGCCTACTCTTTCTAAAACTCCTATTAGTTGGTTGTTGCATATTTTTGATTGATGTTCTTATGTTCTTAACTCCTTTTTTTCATAATTACCTTCTTTTTGTCTTTTTGTTCTACTTTCTGGGATATGTTCAAACTTCATCTTCTAATTCTACTACTGAATTTTAAATTTCTGCTATATTTCTAATATTCCTGGAGTATTTCTTGTTTTCTATTTTTTAAATAACATTGTTTTAGTTTCATGTCTGTAATGTTTCTAGCATCTTTATGAGGCAATCAATGACATTTTAAAAAATGTTATCCTTGATTCCTCCATTACACTTGCTTTTTCTATGATCCTTTCTTTTTATGTTTAGTTTTTGTTTCTTGTTATAATATCAGAGGCTTTTCCAACTGTCTGATGGTCCTTGACTACCTATTCACATTAAATGAAACCTGGAAGCTCTGTGTCTATGGAAAGATCGTTAAGAAGTAGATTGTACTGTAGATGACTGAGCTGTGCGCCAGTGTCTCTTTCTTTAGCTCAATGTTTATTGAAAGCAAACCTCCGATTTTCTATCAGGGAGGAGGAAGAGCAGATCTCTGGCTATTCAGAACTAGGGAGAGTATCTGGGAGGTACAGAGCTCCTTGAACAGTTTTACTCTAGCTTCAGGGTTATCTGCTATCTCTAATTCTTGAGTTCTTCCAGGATCCTGACATTAATCGTCTTAGGTCTTGCTTGCCCTTCCCTTTGTAGGCCCATAGTTTTCATCTTTCTATCTACCAGGTCAGTTACCCCTCAAATATCCTCTTTACATCTTCAAATTTCATCAACATCTCTGGTCTGTCATTGCCCTCTCTCATATATTCTTTATTTTATGGATTTATACTGTGTTGTCCCTTTTTGGTCATTTTTAGTGGGAATTTGAAAGAGAATGAAGAAAAATGGTGTTAAATCATCCATGTTTAATTAGGAGATGAATTTTGAAGATTGTGTGAAAAGGGAGAGAAGAAGTTATTCACTGGATAGGAATTTGAAAGTGACTACAGGGAGAGCATGTTAAAAGAAAATCAAGAGTTTTAAAAGAGAGAGAGAATTGTAATGAGGTGAACACTATAGTAGCTGATATTGCCCATTCGAATACGAAGGGTTATCTGGTTCTGGACAGTTGCTAGACTTACTACAATTTGTGACAAATTAAAGCAAATTAATGTTCTCCAAATATTTGTAAAACCACTTTCTAGGGGCAGATTTATCCCTAGTTATCTTTTTGAAGTGAATGCTTTCAATCTGACTACTCAGAGGGAAGATATTCTGAGTATTCCATAGAGACCTGATTCTATGTTTTATGATTTTTATTACAAATTAGACCTTCTTCCTTGATTCCCATGATTCTTTTACTGAGAGAACATAGTTCATCAGGCTAAGTCCACCCTTTTTCATTTCCTTTGATTTTAGCTATTGTAGGGTCTGGCCAATGCTGTCAAAACCACAGTGAGCATCTGAGGTCCAATCTAGGAAGGAGAACCCAACAAAGTTCACATCAATGTCATACTTCCCCACAATTCAAATGTACAGACATAGGGATGGAACTTGTTTATTCTGAGAAACTAGATCACATTGCTGATGAGATAGTAGAAAAGAAAGGTGTACTTGTCTTATATTTCTCATTTCTATTTGAGTATTCTGTGAGACAAGACAAATCTAAAAAGATGTTGCAAGTGGCTCTCAGAATTGAGGCAATTTCTAAGACTTCCAGCTATTACTAAATCCTCTTCTGAAAGCTTAATAACCAAATACTACAGAAAAATTGACCAAAAAAAAGTCAGAAGCAAAGGAGAGAAGAGATAGTTAATGGTCTTGGGGCATATAAAAAATTAACTGGAGCTAACGGACTGGCCCCACAACAACCCTCTTGCCATCTTCTTCAGTTTGATTACTGGAGAAGGAGATGGAACAGCCATGAACTTTGAGTGCTTCACAAAAGGCTATAAACTCCAGAAATTAGAAGGTTTTAATTAGCTAAAGAGTAATGATTTTTTTAGGGAATTTTTGGAGGAGATATTTTTCTTCCAGCAACCCTGCAATGACCAGGACAATTCCAAAGGACAAGGCCCTTTTCAGACTGCTGATTTATAGCAACTGGACAGATGTTACAGAAATAGCCAACTTTACTCCTTGTGGTGTTTTAATTTCTCCCTAAGAAGATGTGCAACATTAGTCATGGTTTTGTGATCTCTGGACTTTATTCAATAAACATTTATTAAGTGCCTTTAACGGTAATATAATTTGTCTTCTTTTACTTTGATAACAATAAGACCATCATATTTTGAAAAGAAGTCTAGAAGCTACTCAAATTCATCATGAAATAAGGTAAAGGTATAAAGAAACAAAAAAATATGTTCAGTAGGAATCATTTTACATATTATTTTTATATATTTTTTCTTACTAAGCTAGTCTTCCAATACAATTTCATGGATTAAGAATTTTAATCTTCTTTGCTTTATTTCTTTTGTCATGCTGAAACACCATAAAACTAAATGTTTTATGCTTGCAGTCTATAAAAATTCTTGAACTCTGAACTCAGCTCATCTGTGTGTATACTCACTGATGGCTATTGAAATCTGCATCATTAAAATAATAGAATAAAGTTGAATGTGCCAGAAGCCTGAATGTTTCTGTGTGCTTCTTTTGAATAGTTTCATTAATTGTTAAATATCCCAGACACAGAGTATTACCTCACAGCCATCTGCCAGGGCAAACCCTCCACCAACAAGAATGGCTATATCCCAGGGCATGAATGACTGGAATTCTTTCCAAGTAATCAGTGGCGAGTGATCAAAAGCAACTGAAAAACAAAAGCCCTCCAGTTACACATTGCTTAAAATAGGACAAGGTGACTTTTTCCCCCCCAGAATACTAAATAGCCATATTACAGGAAGTTTGTAATATTCCTATATTGTTTTAAAGAAATACTTTAATTTAGAAAAATCACTTAGGTAATACACTCAAATACCTTAGGCACTATGCCACCAGAGCTCCCCCAATAAATTTAGATAAATTATAACATTGTCATTTATGATGCTATCCAATCATTCCACTAACACTGCCTACTATGAGTAATGCAGTGCATTGGACTACATTATTCTTTTCTGTGTAAAATATCTGTAATGTTCTGTTGGTTTTGAAAGCATCAGTGTAGTATTATAATTATTATCACTTAATACATATTTGCTTACTGAAAGCAAAGAGGACTTGAAGCATTTACTGATAAAGATCAAAGACTACATACAGCCTTCAGTATGGATTACACCTCAGCATAAAGAAAACAAATCCTCACAACTAGACCTATAAGCAATATCATGATAAACAGAAAAAGCACTTAAATATGCAAGAATTTCTTTTTTACTTGGATCCACAATCAATGCCCATGGAAGCAGCAGTCAAAAAATCAAATGACATATACATGGGGAAAATAAGCTGCAAAAGACCTCTTTAAAGTGTTAAGAAGTTACTTAGAGGACTAAGGTATGCCTGACTCAAGCCATGGTATTTTCAATCACCTCATGTGCATGTGAAAGCTGGACAATGAATAGGGAAGACTGATGAAGAATTGATGCATTTGAATTATGGTGTTGGCCAAGAATATTGACTATATCTTGGCCTCCCAGAAGAACAAACAAATATGTCTTGGATGAAGTATGGTCAGAATACTCCTTAGAAGCAAGGATGATGAGACTTCATCTCATATACTTTGGACATGCTGTTAGGAGGGACCAGTCCCTAGAAAAGGACATCATGCTGGGTAAAGTAGAGGGTCAGCAAAAAAGAGGAAGGATCTTAATGAGGTGGACTGACATAGTGGCTACAAGAACGGGCTGAAGCATAACAATTATTGTGAGGTTGGCACAGGACTGTACAGTGTTTAATTCTGTTGCCCATGCTGTCACTATGAGTTGGAACCTAGTGGATGGCACCTAACAACAAACAACAGGTATTAATTTTACCATTATATTATGTTTTGAATCATGAAATGGATCATGAGGGATTTACCAGGATTCTAGTTTTAAAAAAATAAATAGTTTAAAGTTAAGATAAAATAATTTAGCATCACTGGTAAGACCCTTAAGATACACATAAAACAATTATCATAAAGATTTCTTTTAATATTTGGATCCTTATCTCTCCATTGGGAGCTCTGGTAGCATAGTGCCGAAGGCACTTGACTGCTAAACAGAAGGCTGGCAGTTCAAACCCACCAACCACTCCTCGGAAGGAAGATAGGGCAATCTACTTCCATAGTGGTACTGCCTTGGAAACCCAAGGAGGGGTCGCTATGAGTCGGGTCTGACTCGAGGGCACATAACATCAACAACAATAACAATAACATCTCTCCATTAGGAGCTCTGGTGGCGTAGTGCCTAAGGCATTTGACTGCTAACCAGAAGTCTGAAGGTTCAAACCCACCAGTCACTCCTCAGAAGGAAGACTGGGCAACCTACTTCAGTAGAGATACCACCTCAGAAATCCAAAGAGGGGTAGCTATGAGTCGAATTGATTTGACAGCAGTGAGTTTGATTTTTTGGTATCTCTACATTGATCTGTTGAAGAAGAATTTTATCTAGGAACACATTAGGCCCATTTCACATTTATGTGCAACAGGAAGCCTTCTACTTAATGACATTTCTAGGTTACTAATACACTTCCTTCCTATCTCCTTTCCCCATACCAGAAACACACCTACCCTCACTAATGACTAAAATTTTGCTATAACATTTCTTTCCTGTATGAAGGCCATATATCCTTTTGAAGTTCAACAATTTCTGGGCTGTACCTTTAATTAAAAATTTAACATATTATATCTTACCTGCCATCTTCAAACCTAATGTGAATGAGTTTATCAGGGAGAACAGATGTTGAAGAATGAGGGGAGAGAAAAAGGTGGGAAGGGGCAAGCCTCTTTCTAAGGGGGAGAGTCAGATTGGAGGACAGGGAAGGAAAAGCCAAGCATTGGTCCTGCAGCACTTGCCACAGCCAGGCGTTAGGACTTTGGCGGTCAGAATCCTCAAGGTATCTTATAAATATAAATGTTCTGTATTGCAATATCTCATTATAACACACATCGTAACACAGGTTTGTGTGCTATTCTAATCTCAAGTAAAGAATAAAAAGCATTTGTTTTTACACCATACTGGTGACATATATCATGTCTTAGAAATCTGATACATTTGCCATTTATAGATTATGGCTCAGGGATCCAAGTAAACCAACCTGGCTGCATGAATCCTAGTTCCCTTCCTATAAAAAAAAAAATTCAACTCTACAAGATTATTCCCAGACAATTACAAACCACATTGTCTCACATTCACAACATAGGAATATGACCAACCAAAATATGTATAAAGTATAAATATGGGTGAATCCATATTTATGTTTAAGAAGTACATGTCTGTGTGTTTTTCTGGGGGCATGTGTGTGCAAATGAGCATTTTTCCTTGCCCATGTGTTGTAAATATGATGGGTGTTCCCACTGCATATCTTTCCTTTCAATGCTAACAATGGGTTGTGCCTTGTGTGGAGATCATTTGGATTTCTTCAGGATCTCAGCGAGGCTGTAAATGCTCTTTCCCTTTGAACTCCTCTTTTTTTTAGGTCCGCAACATTTATTACCAAGGGCTCATAGCAAAGTAATGACTTCTGAGTTCTTGTTCCTGTGTTTCCCATAGTGAGATTAATTCTGATTATGGCAGGGAAGGAAACTTATCACAGGTTAAACAGTTTCACGTGTGGGAGAGCCTCAACCATGGTACGGAATTGACTTGACACTTCTGCAAAGAGGATCTCTCTTGTGGGTAGAAAACATGTTCTGGCTAAATAGGGTTTGGAGTATGCAAATGGGACCTGGTGGGCCAGAGGTTGCATCAGCATGTCCATTCCTACTAGCTAAGTGCCAACTGAAACCAATCGTTTGCATTTTTATCTGTCAAATTCATTCAGGATTACAAATGATACTTAACCAATTTCTCCTGTGGGTGTAGTTTTAGTCAATCTCTTAGCTGGGATAAGAAAGAATAGGAGTCCTACAACTAAGGCAACTGTTGAATCTGTAACAAAACTTGGATACCTGTAAAAGAACAAATGAATGTATTAAAAAATCAGCATCAATAATTTGCATGGGCTGAATATCAGTGTGCTAAATAGCAAATCTATCTTGGAAGAAGTACAGCCAGAACACTCTTCAGATGCAAGAATGACCAGACTTGACCTTATGTACTTTGGTCATATTGTCAGAAGGGACCATTCCCTGGAGAAAGACATCATTCTCCGTAAAATGAAGGGGCTGTGAGAAAGGGGAAGACCATCAATGAGTTGAATTGACACAGTGGCCGTGATCATGGGACCAAGGATAGCAAATACTGTAAGGATGGCACAGGACTGGGCAGCATTTTGTTCTGTTGTACACAAATTCACTATGGGTTGGAGCTGACTCAATGGCACCTGACAACAGCAACAACAACATGCTCGCCATATAGGACTATTAGTGGTGGTGTAGGTCATTGGCTCTGGATAATCTTCTCCAAAGTCTACTTATTTCCACCAAAATGGCATGCTTTAGTAGAACTGAACATCTCAGAATCTTATTCCCATATATTTCTCCTTATTTTCAAAACAATATATTTGTGCCAATTTACTAGGCCAACTTGTAAAACTTCTCCTTTTGGTAATCTTATAGTCTGTTAATTTCTCCTTTCAATCTGTTATTTTTTAAAATTAGATTGGCAGAGAATTGAGGAAAAAACAATTTCTACAACAGGCAAAGCCCCATATACTTAATGTATAACATCCTTTTATCTATTAAATTGTGACTAGGCATGGATGTTTCTAGGGACCCTGAAAACTCTTTAAAGCTCTTATTTAAATTATCAAAGGAAATTCATCTGCTTTCTGAGACATAACACCTGCTTCTGCAGTTAGTGAGACCTGAGCCATACCATACAAATGAAATCAACCCATTTAAATCTTTGCCCCCTATGAAACTCAATCAAGAATATTAATTGCTGGAATGGCTTTTGAGATGTTCATAATGATCATTGTATAAATTAAGAATGATTCAGGAACAGATGGGGTCTTAGAATCACCAGACCATTCTAGCAAATAAGACAACATCCCACAACCCTCAACAGTTAAGAAGCACCTGGAGATGAGATAGAAGTGAAATAGGCATAAATGATTAGAATTCAGTTTTAAAAGTCAGAGATATTAATTACTGCATCTTTATAGCATGAGGAAAAATATGGATATCCTAAAGATTTCATTGCTTCCTTGTCATTGGGCAATGTGTCTGTACTTTAGAAGTTCTATATTCCTGTAGTTTATTTGAAAAAAATCTTAATAATCAAAGAAATGCATTATATTTCTCAATCTAACCATTTTTAAAGCAATCTATGTTTCTTAACTGTAGAACATACATTGTTAAGTAACAAACTACCTTGGCACCCTTTATTCTATGAACTTGACTATTATTTACAATTGTATTTTCCTTATTTCTCTGATTTCAGATATAATTTCAGGTTGGATGTTTGCCAGATTGGGTCAGGCATCTTGGAGCCTCATTTATTTTATATGAAATGACACATTGAATTCAGTCCAGGTTTAAGCAGATGGAATGAAAACATTAGGTGGTAGCTATAAATCTTGATTCATCATTCTAACTCTGGAAACTATACACACCTAAAACCTCTACATAGCAAATGTATTTTATATAACACACACTTTAAATAAATTCAAGCTATATAGATTAAAATAATTTATTTTCAAAAGACTTTTAAAACCATTTATTATTGTAACTTTTTTTTTTTTTAGTTTATCATGAAATAAATTATGGAGATATCTTACTCAAAACTCACTGCTGTTGAGTTGATTCGACTCATAACAACCCCTCCTAGGTTCCTGAGGCAGTATCACTACAGAAGTGGATTGCCCAACCTTCCTTCCGAGGAGTGGCTGATGGGTTTGAACTGCCAGCATTCTGGTTAGCAGTCAAGTGCCTTAGGCACTATGCCACCAGAGCTCCCAGAGATACCTTAGTACTACAAAATACTAACCTTATAAAAATTTTCTTTGTCTTGGGTTTGCCAGTTATATTTATAGTTCAAATTTTACCCTCTCTCAACCTTTTCTTCCTTACCTATTGTTTTCTCTCAGAATTCTACATAAAATGTGCACCTGTCCCATAGCGACATGCATTCTGTTTTCCTCCTAAAAACACAGCACCTCTTGAATTACTTCCCATACCATAAGGAATAGAAATTAGAAATTGATTATACTGAATTTCTTATTGGGATTTCTCCTTGAATTTTATTAGCTGTCATTTAATTTATTCTAGTTCCTACCCTCTGGTGATTGAAGATCCACTCTTTCTACCTAGGGTGGTAGGTCTGGGATTATTTTTAAAAGAGGGGAGGGGCTCTTTTTTAAGTTGGTCTAGATCATACTACAAAGGAAAGCACAAATCAAACTATTCAACTGTTCTTGCTTTTAATAAAAAAGATGGTACCCTTTATTAAGTCCCCTCCAAATAAAAATATAAAGGAAAACAGATTTCAGAAAACTGAAGCTGATCTTTTAAGACATGTCACTATATTGCATTGCTTGACTGGTGTGGTCACAGGAACTTGGACTCAGTCTTTGCATCTTTTAAAAAATGTTGGCAGTGCCTTACAGACCAGAAGGCTCTGATTCAGGGAGGGAGGAATTCCTTCATTCCAAGTGGGCAGAATACAATTTTGGTTTCTCCCTAAAAATACATGAGTTTTTGCTGGGGATATGAGACAGGAAGTCCAAATCAAAAATCTGTTGGATTTAGGAATCAGAGTACCTCAGTCAAAAACAGATTTGGAACACAAATCTCAAAACCAAATTATTTATGTTGACATGTAGGATGGTCCTTAATTTAGAGAATTATGCCACAATCTTCCTCCTCACTTGACATGACTCAGCTGTAACTGCTGCTATGTAAGATAGTGAGAGGTAAAATTAACTCTGACCCAGCTTCTAACATTAGATTTGAAAATCAGTCTTATTACTCATTCAAGAATTCCTTATCTATAAAACAGAGGCTGGGATGAATTTATAGTGAACTGTACTAAAATGAACATAAGTGGAGAAAAAAGCAAGATATAGAACCAAATCAACTTGAAGATGAAGGGAAGACTATATACAATACTGGGGGGCGGGGGGAGGTCAACACAAAATGATTAAGACAAAGGAAGACACTGGAAGAAGCACAAGAGTTAAAGGCAAAAGAGGTGAGATACTATTATATACACAACCCTGCAATCATAGTGATAACTATGATCTGTGAGTGGATACATAGACAAGCTGAACAGGAATGGGCAGGCAAATGGGACCACACCATGAGTATATGTAAGTTTGACAGGGGATATTTCTACATATGTATTTACATATGCTGCAAATATATTCACAAATTTAGTAGAACACACAGTGGGCAAAGTTATGAAAACTTCCTAGCCATAACAAAACATCTTGAGGGAATGAGTCACTGGGACTAGGGGTTTAGTACCATACTCTTGGGGGAAATTAAAGTCATTTGGCATAAAATAGTCCACGAAAACAATGTTCTACATCCAACTTTGTTAAGTAGTGACTGATGTTTTAAAAGCTTGTGACCAAGAAAAAAAAAAAAAAACCAAACTCACTGCTGTTGAGTCAGATTCATCTCATAGCGACCCCTCCTTGGGTTTCTGAGGTGGTATCACTACAGAAGTAGATTTCCCCATCTTCCTTCCGAGGAGTGGCTGTTGGGTTTGAACCGCCAGCCTTCTGGTTAGCAGTCAAATGCCTTAGGCACTACACTACCAGAGTGCCTAAAAGCTTGTGAGCAGCCATCTAATATGCTCCTGAGCAAAGAAGAGTGAAGAAAATCAAAGACACAGTGAAATAATTGGTCCAAAGGACTAATGGACCACATGAACCATGCCTCTATGATCCTGAGCCCAGAAGAAATAAATGGTGCCTGGCTACCACTGCTGACTGCTCTGAAAGGGATCATAATAAGAAGTTTTGCATAGAATGGGAGAAAATTATGGAACAAAACTCAAGTTTCTAAAAAAAGATCTAGATGCACTGGACTAGTAGAGACCACAGGAACCCCTGAGGCTATCATCTTTAAATTTGGAACTCAAACCAGCAGTTACCTTTCAGCCAAATGACAGATTGTCTCATAAAATAAGTATCACTCATGAGTACTACGCTCCTTTAAATAATCATCTAAATGAAACCAGATGGTAAACATTTACCCTAGAACAAAAATGAGAAGGTAAGGGGAGGACAGGGAAGCTAGATTATTGGAAACAGAACAACCAGAATAGAAATAATGAGAACTTTGACACATTATAAAAAATGTAATCAATGTCAATGAACAATATGTATGTTGTTGTTGTTGTTGTTGTTATTTGCCATCGAGTCGGCCCCGACTCATAGCGACCCCTCCTTGGGTTTCTGAGGCAGTATCACTACGGAAGTAGGAATGACCAACCTTCCTTCCGAGGAGTGGCTGGTGGGTTTGAATCGCCAGCCCTCTGGTTAGCAGTCAAGTGCCTTAGGCACTATGCTACCAGAGCTCCTATGCTGTTGTTAGGTGCTGTCAATTCAGCTCAGACTCATAGCAACCCTACATACAGCAGAATGAAACAATGCCTGGTCCTATGCCAGCCTCACAATCCTTGCTATACTTGAGTGCATCATTGCAACTGTGTCAATCCATCTTGCTCAAGGCCTTCCCCTTTTTCGCTGACCCTCCACTTTACCAAGCATGATATCCTTCTCCAGGGAATGATCCCTTCTGACAACATGACCAAAGTAGGTGAGACAAAGTCTGGCCATTCTCAATTCCAAGGAGCATTCTGACTGCACTTCATCCAGGACAGATTCGTTAGTTCTGGCAGTCTATGGTACTTTCAATATCCTTTGCCAACACAACTCAAAAGCATCAACTCTTTTCTGGTCTTCCTTATTCGCTGTCCATCTTTCACATGAATATGAGGCAATTGAAAATGCCATGGCTTGGGTTAGGCACATCTTAGTCTTCAAAGAGATACTTTTGCTCTTCAGTACTTTAACGAGGTCTTTTGCAGCAGATCTGCCCAGTGCAGTATGATGTCTGATGTCTTGCCTGCTGCTTCCATTGGTGTTGGCTGTGGAACCAAGTAATATGAAATCTTTGACAACTTCAATCTTCTCTCCATTTATCATGATGCTGCTTATTGGTCCAATTGTGAGGATTTTTGTGAGGAAATTGTTAAATGAGAACTTAATTTACTGTGTAAACTTTCACCAAAAATACAATAAAATATTAAAAATAAATTTTTTAAAAAAATCAAGTTCCTTTAAACAAGGTTGTTTCCATCTTTACAAAATTATAAACAAAAATCTGCATAAAGGCTATGGTCCATGCTGGTTAGGAGCATAGACTGTAGAGCAAAACTGCCTGAGTTCCAATCCTGACTCTTGCACTTATTTTGAGTAAATGAAACTCTAAAATTCCTCATGTCAAATGGATATAATAATATCACTTAGAATAGTACTTTCCCTATCCTTAGAGGAAATGCTATGTTATAGTTTTGAGGCAGAATTTCTTCTACTACTGCCCATTCAATATTCACTTTGCTTTCAGCAAGCATCTCAGCTGATCATAGTTCTTAGCTCACTGGGTTGACCCAAATTTTCATTCCTGAAAGGTCTGGGTCATTTCTAATCCAGCATGAATTGGGATATAATTTTCCAGTGATCATAGGGCATGATAGTGCAAAGCCATGCCCTAAAGAATCTCTACATTGAGATACACTCTTCCTTACCACCACTGTAGCATAGCAGTCTAATTTCCCCTTGGTAATCAGGATCAATCACTCTGGCTAGTACAGTAACTTCCTTCTTTGCTTGTTGATTCAGAGACATAAAGAGCCCAAATTGGGTGGGTAGAAGTCTTAGCTTCCTGTTTAACAAAACTATTCTGTTTCCTTTTGGAACTAAGACCTCTAATCAGCAGAACATAAAATCCTGGGGACAAGAATCAAACTTATGTTAGGGGTAATGACTAGAGGTTGTTGTTGTTGTTATTATTTGCCATTGAGTCGGCCCCGACTCATAGCGACCCCTCCTTGGGTTTCCGAGGCAGTATCACTACGGAAGTAGGAATGCCCAACCTTCCTTCTGAGGAGTGGCTGGCGGGTTTGAACCGCCAGCCTTCTGGTTAGCAGTCAAGTGCCTTAGGCACTATGCTACCAGAGCTCCTAATGACTAGAGATACCACCCCTATTTCCAGCTCATGAATCCTGGCTATGGGAGAAACATATATTGGATGCTGGTTCAGAGTATATGCAGCCTCCTGGGGAACATTGTCCCAGCCTTGCAAGGTATTGCCACCTAGCTAGCACTGTAACCAAGTCTTCAAAAGGCCATTTCAATATTCTAACAAGCCAGTTGCTCCCAAAAGTGTTGTGCTTATTGTACAAAATAAATATCAATTCTTTTTAATAATCTGATATGAATATATATTCTCAGATTTTTGTCAAATTGATCTTTTGACTTTATGTGGATTATATTGGAATGGTGTTTTAAAAAATTTTTAGTGTGATTTGAATGAAAATTTACAGAGTAAATTTATTTTCCTTTTGACAATTCATACACATTGTTTTGTGATATTGATTGCAGTCTCTGCAATGTAACAGTACCCTTCCCACTTCCTCCCTGTACTTACCATTTCCATACATCCTTTTTTCCTACCCCTTCCTGCCTTCTGAGCTTTATTCCTGGGCAAATGCTGCCCTTTTGATCTTGTAATAATGGAATGCCTTTTTATGTATATGCATCACAATTTGTTTATCCACTCATCTGTTGATGGGCACCTAGGTTGCTTCCATCTTTTTAGTGTGGTGAATAATGCTGCAATGAACGTCCGTGTGTATATAGGACTTTGACTTTTTGTTTCAGGGTAGTGTAACTATGGTTGTCTGTCAGTGGTCTTACTTTAGGGTTTGATCTTTACAATTTTTTTCTTTCCCCGAAAAGAGTAGAATTGAAAACATCTTTTCAAGGGAAAGGAAGAAATATATCATAAAATCGTTCAAAGCTATAGGAACCACTTAAGAGAGAAGCAGATATAACAGTGGAAGGGCAGATGAGCATACCATGTAAAACTTACTCTGAAAAAAGTGCAGACCAACCAGTAGTAAACCCAGGATTTCGGCTAAACCACAACAGGGCCATTACAATGAAGAGCACCAGGGTCACAATTTCTTGATACCTGTGGAAAAATTCAAGTCCCATCATTTCCTATGTTCTGAGTCAGGACATTTGTAGAACCTTCTTGAGCTATTGGCAGGAGTAAACTTAGCAGAACACTGAACACTGTGAAAACCGAAGTGGTTCTATTATGAGACCATCGGTGGATCTAGAAAAGGCCCTTACTTCTCTGTGGGTCCCTCAGCTGCTTGTCATTCTATGTGGCAATTTGTAGTTAGACATGCATGTGTTTTGTCATGTAAAGTTACATTCACAAAGGTTAGCATATTTGGGGCCCTTATCAAGTGTTAGAAATATATTATAGAAAATGACATGCTTGTTTTCATTTCAACAATTACTTGGAATATAAGCAGCACATAGGTGTGTGTGTGTGCATATGTGTGTGTTTGGTATCTTACCTTATTGGCCCCAGTTTTTTATATTCTTGTTTAATCACTTCAGCACAAGCTTTTTCTTTGACTGTTTTGGTTTTGCCACATTTGAACATCTCCTTCAAACTAAAAAAATTAATTAAGCCTGTTAAACAAAGAATTCTTTCAACACCACTTCCTTTTATGGAAGATATTTATGGGCAAGTTTCACGAATACAAATCTGCCAACTAAGAACAGAAATATGTGCTTTGCATCCATACCTTACCTCTTTGAAATGTTCTCTCTCTCTTCTTTTGTTTTTTTTTTTTTTTTCCAGTTTTGCCTGGTTTGCTTGCCCTTCAATGCTAAATTTTTGTTCTATATTTTCTAAAATATATTCCACTGATCTCTTCATCTTCCAAGTCCTTTTGTGCCACTGGAATTTTTTCATGAACCACTCATGTCTATTTAACACTTTATTGTATGCTCTCATAATTGTTATTTGTTACATGTGTGTAAGTCTTATCTAATTAGTAAATTATTTGAGGGCAGGGACAGTTTTATAGATGTTTCTTTAGCCTAATATCTCTACAACACTGGCATTCATAGTAAAGACTTCTTGACTGACTGATTCACTAGTACCTTTGTTTGGCAAGTGAACAGTTGGCTGTCAGATCCCTCACTTCTCACAAAATACGATAAACTTGAGTAATACACTAGGGCAGGGAAGTCACATACAGTGATCACAAACAAAGTCCAAACCAGGTCTGTTCTCAGAAGCAAAACTAACTCTATTACATTTTTTCTTCAAGTTTCTCCATCCCAACTAGGTAATTTTCCAGCTTCTTTCCAACAATAACTGCCAATCTCTATCCCTTATTTTAGTAAATTACCTGCCATGAAGTACAAGGTCTTCAAAATTTTGAAGTTTCTGTGAAGCACTTCTCTACAATAATAAATGCATAGATAAACATACATACATACGTAATCCCTCCAGGG